GGCGGGGCCTCGTCATCCACATTGAGCGACTCTCACCTGGAAAAACTTTTTCCCACTGGACACAGAAACATATGTGCTGCTTTATCCACTGTGCACATGGACTCACACTTGTCCCAACGCAACGGAAAGTGTGGAATTTCTTCTACAAATCCTGGTTAAATCCACATTTGTGCTTCGGTTCGTTACAGACTGACCCACTGTTTGTGTGTCGCTCCTTCTGATGCAGAGACACATGTACACACCTGTTTGGTCACGACACACACACATACATTCAGTTTGTCCATTAAAATGAACGGAATCCATGAAATTCTTAATGATCAATTATCGATTAATCGATTAATCGTCTAATCATGCCCATCCTTAAACACAACACAAAACACCACAGAAACAAAACCATAGAACAAAAACAGATACGAGACCAAGTGTGAGCGCGACTGATGCACCAACAGGAGCTTTAATCATTCTTACAGACAAACCCTCTGCAGTGTTGTGTTCTGTTAATAATGACACACTCCCCTGACCTCTGACCTCTGTGCACTTTTGATCACACACTCCCTGAGCCTTTCACTTTTATTTTTTAACTGCACTATCTGAGTTTAGCAGATTAACGGCGAATGGCACAAAAGAATGTTCGACTCTGTTCAGTTTACACTTTAAGATCCTGAGCCTTCAGCCGACATCAGCTCAGACTGACTGTGAAGAAGACGGGTCGGGTCACTGGGCTCCGTCCTGCCGAGCTTCCAAACAGAACAGTCTCCTCGAAAATGTGCTGCAGTGGGTTCAGGGCCACACCCGGGACTTTACACGCTCTTTTAGTCGAGGGAAAAGTCTGTGATTTAACTCTGACTGACACCAAACCAAACAAATCAATGAGAGAGACTCCAACACACTGGACACTTTCACATCCCACTTCAAACGGCGGCTAAAGGAAAAACTACGGAAGCCGAGAGGCGTCACAACAAACACAAACGCCGCGACAAATACAAACGAGATCACTGCTGCCTTAAATGATGCCCATCTACTGTTAGTGTCATATTGTATTAGATTAGTCCTGGTTCAGTCCTGGTTTAGACCTGGTTTAGACCTGGTTTTAGTCCAGTTTTAGTCCTGGTTTAGTGCTGGTTTAGTCCTGGTTCAGTCCTGGTTTTAGTTGTGGTTTAGTCCTGGTTTAGACCTGGTTTAGTCCTGGTTTAGTCCTGGTTTAGTCCTGGTTTAGTCCTGGTTTAGTCCTGGTTTTAGTGGTGGTTTAGTCCTGGTTTAGGGCTGGTTTAGACCTGGTTTAGTTCTGGTTTTAGTTCTGGTTTAAGTCCTGGTTTAGTCCTGGTTTAGACCTGGTTTAGACCTGGTTTAGTCCTGGTTTAGTCCTGGTTCAGTCCTGGTTTTAGTCCTGGTTTAGTCCTGGTTTAGACCTGGTTTAGACCTGGTTTAGACCTGGTTTAGTCCTGGTTTAGTGCTGGTTTAGACCTTGTTTAGTTCTGGTTTTAGTTCTGGTTTAGACCTGGTTTAGACCTGGTTTTAGTCCAGTTTTAGTACTGGTTTAATGCTGGTTTAGTTCTGGTTCAGTCCTGGTTTTAGTTGTGGTTTAGTCCTGGTTTAGTCCTGGTTTAGTCCTGGTTTAGTCCTGGTTTAGTCCTGGTTTTAGTGGTGGTTTAGTCCTGGTTTAGTGCTGGTTTAGACCTGGTTTTAGTTCTGGTTTAAGTCCTGGTTTAGTCCTGGTTTAGACCTGGTTTAGACCTGGTTTAGTCCTGGTTTAGTCCTGGTTTAGTCCTGGTTTTAGTCCTGGTTTAGTCCTGGTTTAGACCTGGTTTAGACCTGGTTTAGACCTGGTTTAGTCCTGGTTTAGTGCTGGTTTTAGTCGTGGTTTAGTCCTGGTTTAGACCTGGTTTAGACCTGGTTTAGACCTGGTTTAGTCCTGGTTTTAGTCCTGGTTTAGTGCTGGTTTAGTCCTGGTTTAGTCGTGGTTTAGACCTGGTTTAGACCTGGTTTAGTCCTGGTTTTAGTCGTGGTTTAGTCCTGGTTTAGACCTGGTTTAGTCCTGGTTTAGTGCTGGTTTAGACCTGGTTTAGTCCTGGTTTTAGTCCTGGTTTAGTGCTGGTTTAGTCCTGGTTTAGTCCTGGTTTAGTCCTGGTTTAGTCCTGGTTTAGCCCAAAATGTGAAAACAAAAGCCACAACACATTAAAAAGCCACAACGGAAGTGACCGTGGGACATTTCCGTTGTCGTGACATCATTTCCGTTGTGGCTTTTTTTGGTGTGTTGTGGCTTTCTGTTGTGTCGTGGCTTTTGTATTTGTCGCGGCGTTTGCGTTTGTTGCGACTCCTCTCGGCTTCTGTAAAAAAACAGACTTGTGGACACTTTTAATTTAGAACCGTCACTATTGTCACTTGTTGTTTTTTTTTCAGTTAAATTTGTGGCGTCACCTGCCGAGGGACGACAGACGGACATGAGCATTTTTGCTATAATCTGTCATATTTACACTGTTACTGTTGTAGATGCTCATTAATGTGCACTGTCCCTATTAATTAATTAATTAAATAAATAAATAAATAAATGTTCTGTGTTTGCAGCACTTTTGTTTGTAAAATGTAGAAATAAAGTGGATTTGGATGAACATGTCCACTGCATTTATCCACTAATTTAAACAGAACTAAAGTCACTGCAGCCGGAGCATAAATATATGTACTCTATTACCAGTGTAGTGGAGTAACAGATTACATGTACTGGAGTTATGTAATCAGAGTACAAATTGATGAGTAACTGTATTCAGTTACAGTTACTGTTTCAGTGAGTGGGTAATTGGATTACAGTTACTTTGTTGAAATAAATTGATTAAACACAGAGGGATTTTCCCGTTTTCACATTTGGGGCTAAACCAGGACTAAAACCAGGTCTAAACCAGGTCTAAACTAGGTCTAAAACCAGGTCTAAACCAGGTCTAAACCAGGTCTAAACCAGGTCTGAACCAGGTCTAAACCAGGTCTGAACCAGGTCTAAAACCAAGTCTAAACTAGGACTAAACTAGGTCTAAAACCAGGTCTAAACCAGGTCTAAAACCAGGTCTAAACCAGGTCTAAACCAGGTCTAAACCAGGTCTAAACCAGGTCTGAACCAGGTCTAAAACCAAGTCTAAACTAGGACTAAACTAGGTCTAAAACCAGGTCTAAACCAGGTCTAAAACCAGGTCTAAACCAGGTCTAAACCAGGACTAAACTAGGTCTGAAACCAGGTCTGAAACCAGGTCTAAAACCAGGTCTAAAACCAGGTCTAAACCAGGTCTAAACCAGGTCTAAACTAGGTCTAAAACCAGGTCAAAACCAGGTCTAAAACCAGGTCTAAAACCAGGTCTAAAACCAGGTCTAAACCAGGTCTGAAACCAGGTCTAAACCAGGTCTAAACCAGGTCAAAAACCAGATCTAAACCAGGTCTAAACCAGGTCAAAAACCAGATCTAAACCAGGTCTAAAACCAGATCTAAACCAGGTCTAAAACCAGATCTAAACCAGGTCTAAAACCAGGTCTAAACCAGGTCTAAACCAGGATTTAACAGGACTAAACCAGGCTGCATGGACCGTGTCTTCTCCTTTTCTATCAATAATATTTTTAATCTGGTAAAGACTCGGCCTTTTTATTTTCTTTTAACAGATAAAACTTCTTATGTGAAGATTTCCTCGTCTTTGTTTCTCTACAGCAAATCAAGTAATCCAAAGTATTCAGATTACATTACTCACTTTAAGTAATTTAATGGATTACGTTACAAACTACATTTTGGGGTGTGTAATCTGTAATCTGTAGGGGATTACATTGTAAAAGTGACCCTCCCATCACTGTTTATTACTACATAAATACTCTTTCCACTTGGTTTTGTTGCAGAGGAGAGTGGAGTCCGCTGCGCGTCTCCGGCCTGTTATGGCGTCGTTACAACATCACTCACTTTCTGCACCACAAAAAACATTTAACGCATTATTATCACATTCTATAATTACTACGGAGCTCGCAGCGATGCCGCGAAAGGACGAAGAGTAAATGAAATGTGGATTATAAAAGGGAAAAAGCACGAGCCCGGGGCCATTGTCCGACAACACGGAGCCACTAGAATAAACCCGCGGCTCTTTAAAGACACATTTGGGACTTTTCTGCAGGATTTAGACTCGGCTGCGAACACAGAGACACACAGGGATAATAAAGCACGGGTTCGGTTCGTGCTCGGCCCAGCAGGACAGACAGGTGCGGCGTGGCAGGTGTCAGTGGCAGGTGCAGCGCGGGGGATAAAAGGCACCGACGCTTGTTGTTAGCATCTTTAGCTTAGCTCCCGTTTTTTTTTTTTTTTTTATAAAGAAAAGAGCCGCGCACACTCACCGACGAGCTTCACCGGCCCCGCGCTCGTTAGCTCATGTTCCCCGTCGGTTCTCAGCGCCGTCACGCCTCTTTTTTTTTTTTTTTTAATGTTTTTCTTAATAATTTGTTCGGGATGTTTCCAGCGGATCGCGCGGTCCCGTTAGCCGCCGCTCAACACTGATTTCTCACCCGATCACGTGACCCAATTATATCTATATTATTTAATTTACCTTTCAAATTATAACAAATAAACGCCTAAACATTTAATAAACATGTTTAAATCCGCTTAGTTTCACTTTGTCATCATAATAATAATATTTTTTTTTTTTAACGGCTCTTTCTTTCAAATATTTGATAAATGATATGAGAAATACACATTTATTTTCTGTTTTGACCCTGTATGATGTTGTAATATTAATACAAATTTAAATAATAAAAACATTTAAATAAAATAAATAATAAATAATAAAAGTAAAGATTTCTGAGCGTGTTTGTTGATGCCTCTTCTGATTGGCTGCTGTAGCGTCTGCGTCACTGGGATCTGACCAATGAGAGCGCTTCCTGAAAGGCGGTGGTTTGATAAATGATACGAGAAATACACATTTATTTTCTGTTTTGACCCTGTATGATGTTGTAATATTAATACAAATTTAAATAATAAAAAAATAAAATAAATAATAAATAATAAAAGTATAGATTTCTGAGCGTCACTGGGATTTGACCAATGAGAGCGCTCATTGAAAGGCGGTGGTTTGAAAATAGAAAATGGCCGCCTCCCGAGTCCGAGCGTAAGTGTTTTTGTTTTTAATTCTGTTAAAATCTCACGTTGATCAAGTTTTATAAAGATAAAATCCACCCAGAGATCATTTAAAGACGTGAATCAGTTTCTTCTGTTAGCAACGTTATTCAGACTCGAGACTTGACTTGTATTTCAGAGTAAAACAGTCGGACTCTGGTCTTAACGAACCGTCTTCATCTGATAAAACTCCTAAAACTATTGAAAATTAAACTGTTAAAATGTTCTCCTGCTGTTCAATCGAGTCAAACATCACAATATCTACAGACAATCACAAAAGCTACAGTTTTTGAATTACCATAAGATCCTCCACAAACAACAAAAAATCGTCTAACCCTGTAGTTTAAATCTGTACAAACATGTTCTGAAAAGTCCCAGTGAGTCAGATGCCCTCCCCGTGTCTCCGTGACTCTTGTGTTTGTTTGTCAGTTCAGATTTCAGTCTTTTTGTTGATTCTTCTGGACGTGTTTCAAATGTGAAACTTTGTTCTTTTAATATATGTTTATTAATTTCATTAGAGATGTTAAGTGTCCATTTTGCTATTTACACGAGTATAAGCACATCCATATATATCACACACACACATATATATATATTTGTTTCCCTTTAATCCCTTTCCCCGATTAATTAATGACCCCTCACCAAACTAAATAAATAAAAATAACATTATGAATTAATAAACACACACATACACATTCATACATATTCACTCACTCACATACACCCATCCACACATCAAAGGCAGGATACACATGATTTTACCCTTTCCCACCAGTTTTCTTTAGTAGGAGGTTGTAGTTTTAGCCAAATGTAAAACTTTGAACAGAATCCTTTTATTAAAACAGAAATCACAAAACTAATCACAGTACTTGTTAGAAAATTACTTATTTGTATTTATCCATCTCTAGATATCTGTAGTGTGACCTCTGACCTCGTGTAGATGTGTAAATGTGTGTTTGTCTCCAGGCTGCTGCAGAGCTGTGATCCGCAGATGTTGGACGTCTGCAGGGACTTGGACTCGGCCGATGCCTCCAGGGTGGTGCTCTTCCTCACGGTTTGCCTCCTAAACTTTTTACAGATTATTTATTATTATATTCAGTGTTAAAGCTATGGAAGATAATTTGTTTCATCACATTTTAAATTTTAAATAACATTGAATTTCTCACTTTAAATTTTTTTAACTCTGAAAAAACATTTTTGAATTATTTTGAATTGTACATTTTCAAAGTGTTTAAAATTCAATATAAACACCTTGGCATCTTGGATCTTTGTTGCAAATTTTACACTATGAATTTTGACAGAGCTCGAAAATATCCGTGCTGAATATTTAAAAGGTGACATTTTTATTTTGAATTTGAAACATATTGAAAAAGTTCACATTTCAGCAACTAAAATTCAGAATAAAAATAATTTAAACATAGTTTTTCAAAGTTAAAAAACTTCTAAAAAGTGAGAAATTCAGCAGGATTTAAAATTCAAAATATAACTGAACAAATTATCTTCCGTAGAAAACAGTCTCATTTTGGCGTGAAACAACAAAATAAAGTCTTCTGTTTATTTACAGTATTTAGGCCCGTCACGATAACAATAACCATATGGCAAACATTTTGAGAACAAAATACTAAGTTCTTTTTTTTTTTTTACACTTTATTGCGGTGTCTAGAATGTTCCACAGTATGGCATTAAATTTGTCACAAGGCCAAGTTCCAGGTCAGATCTGCGGAGGCGTTTTCGAGCTTTAAAAACACTTTCAGTATTTCAGTAAATGTAAAATACTGTAGATAAGTTTTAAGCCTTTTTACATGGGAGTTTGGTTTTTGTCTTTTTAAATTTTTATTTTGACCCAGTAAATGAGGCATGTGCACATTTTTCTAACATAATTTATATAATCGCTCCATCGACCTCATTCAATATGTGAAAACTGTGGCTCAGTATTTATGGCGTGTGCGTTTTCTTTGCGATAACGGGGAGATTTTTGCCATTTTCTTGTAATAAGGTCAGATTTGAGCTGTAGAGGGTTGAAAAAAATCACTTCTATGACTCATAATTGGTTCATTCTGTTTAATCCTTTGCAGCTTTTTTTTTTTTTAATAATAAATGAGTGTCAGGTGTGGATTGTTTGTGCGTCTTTGGTTCAGGACAGTCGCAGAGTCCAGAAGGTTCTGTGGCGGCAGCTCTTCGTCCTCGACTCCATGGTGTCTCTGATGGAGGAACTCAAATCTGCCCGGCAACTGCTGACCACGCCCTGCCCCGCCCCCCCAGGTAACCGCCAATCACAGCACATGCCCCGCCCACCCCCCAGGTAACCGCCAATCACAGCACATGCCCCGCCCACCCCGAGGTAACCGCCAATCACAGCACATGTCCCCCCC